CTGGTAATTTAATGGATATTGCATTAAATCTATAGATTGCCTTGGGTAGGATGGACATCTTAAGAATGTTGATTCTTCTAATTTGAGCATATTTTTCCATTTTTTTGTGTTATCTTTGATTTCTTTGAGCAATATTTTGTAGTTTTCATTGTAAAGTTCTTTCACGTCTCTGGTTAGAAAGATGCCAAGGTATTTCATTTTTTGTGTGGCTATTGTGAATGGGATTGTGCTTTTTATTTGGGTTTCTGTTTGTTTATTGTTGGTGTAAAGAAATGAGACTATCTTTTGCACATTTATTTTAAATCCTGAGACTTTGCCAAAGTCCTTTATCAGTTGTCATATGCTTTAAACAGAGATCCAGCCAGACGTAGAGGTGGATCTGCGTTGAATCTTCCACTGCAGTTCAAGTCAGAACTACTGCACCTCACTTTTACTCTAAATATTTGTACTATTGTCCTTGGGTGTTTTTTCATTGTGCACAATAAATCTTTCCTCTTTAAAAGAACTGAGTGATGACAGTAAGGGAAACCATACTCTGGAGTGCACTTGGAAGGAAATTACATATTTAGTGAGGTAAAACAAATACCTGTTTCTCTACTCTTGCTTTGTAGGCCATCATGTTTTCATAGACTCAGAAGTATAGTGATAAGATAGAGAAACTGACTTCTGAGTCTGTGCCAGGCAGCCTTTTACGCCCAGTGGGGACAGTGAACATGATATACTCTCTGCTGTCAGAGCTTAGGTCCCCTAGCAGGGAGAGGCAGACAGTCAAAATGTAGACAAATAATAAGGATTTCAGAAACAAGGCAGTATGATAGTTAGTAAAGAACTTAAGTGGAGCATCGTTTTCTAATTACACTTCTTTTTGTTTGTGTTTTTAGAGGTTTCTGATGCCTTATAGTTTTTTTTTTTTTATATTACACTCCCCCACAAACATACACACAGCAACTTGTGCAGAACTTGATACAAGGACTAAGTAATCAACACTTGCTATTACAATAACACTTGTTATTGACTTGCTAAATATTTAAATCAACAAACACATGTCTGTTTGCAAACACTTCAAGGATGTAACCTACAAATTACTTGTCATGGATTTTATTATTGCAATTATTTGCTATGGAGTTTCATAAAATAGGCATCTGCTCTTTATACTTGGAAAGTCTAGTGCATTTCCCAGAGCATTTTAACTACTGGAAAAAATCCACTGAGAAAAAGCAGATAATAAAGAGTCGTGAGTCGTTAGTCAGATCCTTGCCTAATTGTATTTCTTAAAACTCCGGCTACTATGTGAAAAGAGATAGAGAGGGGCTTGAATTAAGCTGGTGTTTGTGGAGACAGGACTTGATAACGGGCTGAGTAAGGGAGAGAATGATTGGTAGATGATACACAGGTCTCTGACTTGAGCAAAAACCTGGAAGGGACGCTACTGAGATGGTGAAGAAGAGGAGCACGTAGAGGGAGTCAGGAGAAAGTCAGGGATTCGGTTTTAGACATGGTGGATTTGAGATGCCTGTGAAATAGCCAAGGAAAACAAAAATCTTGAATGCATTTGCAAAATGAGTCCGGAAAAGAGGTCAAGGCTGAGTTATAACTGTGGGAGTCATTGGCAAATGGGTGGTATCTGAAGCCGTGGGAGTGGATGAGATTACACAAGGGTGAAGATAGACTGAAGGAGACAAAAAAAAACTTGGTCCAGGAACCAGCTCTGAGATACACCAGACGTGTCAGGGATCTGGTAGAGGATATGGAACTGACAAATGAGCCTGAACAGGAATGGCTAACAGCAGTTAATTTGCAAGGGAAAAAAACATGTTCCGTGAGCACAGACCACACACCCCTGGCCAGCAACTCTCAGCCACAACCCCATTTGGCTCTGAAAAAGCCTTCTGTAATGCTGGAAAATAAATCTACTCATGCATGTCTTTCTGGTGGAGGGGGAGAAAGTGCTTCATCCTCACTTTAAAAGATGACTGCACTGGAATAATCCAAAGAATAAAAGGAAAGTGTGACACAGCTGCTGTGTTTCTGGAGCAGAGTTTGAAGTTCCTGTAGGATAAATATGAAAGCTTCAGAGATCAACTTCTGTCTTGGTTCAGACTTGGTTACCAGTAAATGGGGCACAATCTTGCTTAGTTAGCAGTAGATTTGTCTTTTACCCTCTCTCTTGCAGGAAGTTAAAGTGCTGCACCATAGAGTTTTTGTTTTCTCTTTATGTTTGATACTAAATGGGATATAGAGATTTAATAAGAAAGGGAGCTGAGAAGAGTTGAAAACTTGAAAGTTCAGCTTTGGATAAAGGAGCACAGAGGAATCGTGAAACCTTTCCCTCTTGTTTCAGTATTTCACTATATGAAGTGTGTCCAACTAATAGACATTGTATTAAATCCCACATGGGATGTTTGTAGACTATACCACATTCTAAAACATTAAAAACAGAATAGCTTTTCAACATTATATAAAACAAATTGCCAAAACTCTAATTATTTGCTGTTTATCTGAAAATGGTTGGCTGTCCCTTCCTCTATAAATCAGGTTTACATCAGGGGTTCTGAAATGAAAGATGATCCCTGATCTTAATAGGGTACTGTTAACTACATGTGTGTCTTTTAAAAATATTAGTTCTCTAGTGTGAATTAATCTTTACACTTTTTTTGCAAATCACCAAAGAATGGGAATAGAAACAGACTATTGCTTAAATGATGAAAACATAAAAAAGCTTGAAACTTTTCTGTATAAAGTTGGCTGTTTCTCACATATTTTTACTTTTCTTTTTCAAAATACATTTCAGTTCTTCTTCTGCAGTTTCAGTTCATGTTTTAGAAGTTTAAATATGAGCATTTGTGAGGGCACCATTTCTAATTCAATCAAGACATACTTTCAGTGTATGTATAGCACTGTATATTTATTTTATTTGTTATTATTTTTTGAGACAGGGTCTCACTCTGTCTCTTAGATTGGAGTGCAGTGATGCAATCCCAGCTCACCGCAGCCTCAACCTCCTGGGCGCAAGCAATCCTTCTACCTCAGCCTCCCAAGTAGTTGGCACTACAGGACTACAACCGCCTGGGCTCAAGCAGTCCTTCTACCTCAGCCTCCCAAGTAGTTGGTGACTATAGGTGTCATCACACCTGGCTAATTTTTGTATTTTTTATAGGGGTGAGAGCTCAGTGTTTCCCAGGCTGTGACACGCTGCAGCTACCTATACCATAAATCAGGAGCTATTTTGGCCCAAATTTCAAATCTAATGTAGCTTTTTTTGGCCTCAGTTTCAAATCCAACGTGGCCGTTCCACATTGATGGAGTCACCCTTCTTAGATGTTCTCCCAGCCTGGATTTGGGACCAGCTGCCTTGTTGCTTCCTAATGATGATATCCTGTCCAGGCTATAAATAATTTTATATTATCATTGATGCCCTGCATATCTGTATCTTTAAGCTTTTTGTTTTTATTACCTTTATTAAATGACTGCCTTCCAACACCCAGGTCTAGGCTTAAACACTAGCATACACAGAGATAACAGCTGCTCCTAGACCCAAAGAAGGAGTAGACTCCAGGGAGCTGCAATTCTGGAGCCATGGGAGAAGAGGGAGAAGCAGTTGTAGGAGAGAAGCTTGTCAGATTGCAACATGCACAGAGTAGGGGAAATTGTAGTAGGGGAAAAAAACCCAAAAAACTGAACTTGGCTTTATAAATAAACATTTATTGAGCATTTTCCACTGGCCAGCCCTAAGCTCCTGCATTACATATAGTGTCTCTTTAATATTTAATACATGCAACCATTATTATGTGTATTTTAAACATCTAATTAAAAGTTATAATAATTCCAAAAGTAAACTCTAAGCATCAGCTTTTCAAAGTATATTTTTCACGTGGCACGTTTCATTAGCTCATGAAGTATGGTTATTGTTTCAAAATGTATGAAAATTTAAAGAAAACAATGATTATTCATCAGAAATAGCAAGTGACGATTTCCTCCAAGGAGTGTTTCTTCCCAGCACTCAACTTCTGGGAGTTGAAATTCATGGTGGTTGGGGTGACCAAACTGGTGGGTGCTGGACAATGTCTTGGGAAATTTACTTTTTGCAACTGGATTATAAAACAGGGTTCTCTCGGTTGCTAAGCCTGTAATCCCAGCACTTTGGGAGGCTGAGGTGAGTGGATTGCCCGAGCCTGCAGGGTTCGAGACTAGCCCAGGCAACTTGGTGAGACTTCGTCTCTACAATTAAAAAAAAAAAAAAATTAACTGGGTGCGGTAGTGCATGCCGTAGTTCTGGCTACTTGGAAAGCTGAGGTGGAAGGATCATCTGAGCCCAGCAGGTCGACGCTGGGGTGGCCGTGAGTGTGCCACTGCACTCCAGCCTGGGTGGCAGAGTGAGACTCCAACTCAAAAAAATAATAATAATAAAGTAAAACAGGGCTCTCCTTGTGATTTGCTTCTATCAGCTTGCCATTTTGCTCCATATTATGATTTTGCCATTTATCCCTCTTGCATTTCAATGGATTTCTTTAAATTGCCCCTGGTTGCTGTTGCCCAGAGGACGGGTGCAGAATTGATTTTGTATTTTTAATATATTTCTAAAGTTAAAATAGGGAAATAGTGCATAAAAACTTACTATTTCATGAGGCGTACTATTTTTATAATCAGGAAAAAACTCTTCTAAAAAAAGCCTTCACTTTTAACTTCTAAGTTAAGTATTAACTATATAACAGAAGGTATATATATATTTTAGTTGCCAAAGACCTTAAAGAGTATATATATCAACCCATTAATTCCACAAATGAGAACCTAATGCCCAGAAATATAGAAAAAAGCTTTTTAAAAAAAATTCTTTAAATTTTAAAAATTCTTTTCTAAACAGAGATTAATGTTAGTCTGTTGGAAAGAGATGGAAGGCAAACCACAAATGGTGGGGGGGAAGTACTCCCTAATATCTGGTTTTAGTTTGTTTCTCTTGCTGATATTTACTGATCTTCTCCCCCCCCCCCTTTTTTTTTCAGTGGCCACAGATGTCTTTAATTCCAAAAACCTGGCCGTTCAGGCACAAAAGAAAATATTGGGTAAAATGGTGTCCAAATCCATCGCCACCACCTTAATAGATGACACAAGCAGCGAGGTGCTGGACGAGCTCTACAGAGTGACCAGGGAGTACACCCAGAACAAGAAGGAGGCAGAAAAGATCATCAAGAACCTCATCAAGACGGTCATCAAGCTGGCCATTCTTTACAGGAATAACCAGTTTAATCAAGATGAGCTAGCACTGATGGAGAAATTTAAGAAGAAAGTTCATCAACTTGCTATGACCGTGGTCAGTTTCCATCAGGTGGATTACACCTTTGACCGGAATGTGTTATCCAGGCTGTTAAATGAATGCAGAGAGATGCTTCACCAAATCATCCAGCGTCACCTCACCGCCAAGTCACATGGACGGGTTAATAATGTCTTTGATCACTTTTCAGATTGTGAGTTTTTGGCTGCCTTGTACAATCCCTTTGGAAATTTTAAACCCCACTTACAAAAACTTTGTGATGGTATCAACAAAATGTTGGATGAAGAAAACATATGAGAATGTTGAATTAAGATTGTGACTGATCATGATTATTTGAAGGTGGGGCGCTGCTGATTTATGAAGGAAGAAAGAATTTTCTAAAGATTACACATATTTCAGAAAGACTTTGCCCAATTCAATTGTCAGACATTAATGATAGTGCTTTTATGAGGCTTGTTTTATTTGGGGGAAAAAAGCATATTACCAAAAATTCTGGTTAAAAGCTTCCTAACAGGTAACAGATCGTGGGAAAGATGTATGGTTGAATAATGCAGATGTAGAGTTATACAGAGAAAAATATGTGTGGCTCCAGACCTTAAGTTTTTTTTTTTTTAAGGACAGTTGTGTTGTTGGCATATTGGATAGTTCAACATGTACAAAATTGTGTATTTGATTCACTTTTATTTCTTGTTATGTATATGTACCTCTTTTTTAAAAGCCAAGAACTTTCTCTTGCTGTCATTGTTCATTTTGAAACAATTCCATTTTCAAGTCTACCTTTGATTGTTTTGTTAAAGATTGCATCATTGACATTCAAGAATTAAGTCTGAGGCACTCAAACTAAACCCTCAGAAAGATAGAAACTGCTTATCTGAAATCAGTACTGTGGAAATGAACAATATTAGATGTTATGAATAATGTCCAATATAAGAATATGCTTCTGGAAGTAAGTCTTGCTTTTAAGTACCAATGGTGATACCTAGATTTTCAAAAATCTAATGGCACGTTGCCTTGAAATGCTTGCTTAGAGCTTAACGTTTGTGTTAGCTTGAGAATATACTCATGAAATCTCCATTTTTTATATCTGTTTCACATGTAAGAGATAAAAAAAATCTAGATTGGCCTTGACATTGGAACAATAAAAGTAAGTAGCATTAAGAAAGATAAAACAATCTTCATGTTAGAGATGAACCCATAAAATAACTTAATTTAGAGGAATGAGGGGCCAAAGGGAAGAAAGTCTATTGCTAAAGAACATGAGCATAAAAATGAGTGCATTTCGATGTTTAAGAAGGTTTGATAAATGAATAAAGAATGTCACTTTTTTAATTTAACTGATAAGGTTTTTGTTATTTTGTTATTTGTTACTTTGATGAGTAAACCAAAGAATATTTACATTCCAGACAGTTTGTGTGCTATTTCTATGTAATTATTTGTGTGTGAATGATAAAGTAGGCATTTACCTATTTTGTAAAAAAGAAATGAAAATCTGTTGGCCAACTGTATCATCTAGGAAATAGACCCAACCACCAGCACTAAATATTTACATTGTTGCTGTGTCTGTGATTTAGTGTACTCTCTTGCCTTAAATTTGCCTGCCTCCCAGAATATTGACATTAAAATAATAATTTACCAGGAAAAGTTCCATAACTAAAAATATCGGAAGTTGTGATCTGCTCTAACTCATTACATCTGGAGAAGGTGGTTTGTTCTCTGGGATACTCATTTGCTTGGCTAAGACAAACAGCAAAGACAAAGAGTATTTGATATTAAATCCTGAGATTAAGATTTAAACTAAGGTTCTATTCTTACTTCCTAGAGCCAAATACGTGATCACTATTTGTTATAGCAATAGCACATGACTGCAGAAATGACCCCTCAAGCTTCATCACCTTGCTGAGTGGCTTATGAATGGCATTCAGCAGCCTTCCTCAGCCAGTTGTTTTCCCCACGTGGGAAGACTGAGCGTGTGATTGTGTGTGACCTACTGACTTGATGTATGCTGTTCTGTACCAGGGGGAGAAAGAGCAGAGGAATGGAAAATGGAGGGCCTGGACAGTTGGTAGGTGCTTTGTGTTCATCTCTAGCTGTAGACAGGACCAGCTGGAGAGAAGACCTAGCGAAGGAGAAACTTAAATCTGTCTGGGTACATTGAATCATACATAGGGTTGTGCCTGCAGGTTAGCAATCAAATGTGTAAGGGGCTAGGGAGCAACGCTTAATCTCACAGAGGAAAGACAGTGAACTGAAGCAGGGAATCTTTTTATTGTTGTTGGCATCTCACTCTGTCACCCAGGCTGGTGGCACATTCACAGCTCACTGCAGCCTCAACCTCCTGGGCTCAGGCTATCCTTCCACCTCAGCCTCCTGAGTTAGCGGGACTATAGGAGCAAACCACCTCACCCAGCTAATTTTTCTATTTCTGGCAGAGACAAGGTCTTGCTATGTTGCCCAGGCTGGTCTTGAACTCCTGGGTTCAAGCAATCCTCTTGCATTGGCCTCCTAAAGTACTAGGATTACTGTACCAGTGTGAGCCATGACACTTGGTTCGGGAATCCTGTTTGCTACCATTTCTCAGCATCTTCTGGAGGGGACCCATCTCCTTACAATCTTGTGCCTGAAAAGTATGCCTTAGAAGGATCAGTTACAAAGCTGTGATTAGCAAGTTCCTTTCTAATACCACAGGACTCTCCTTATGTATGAATTCAGTGTGGCGCAGAGTGTGCGTACTGGAAAGAATTCTGATGTGCTTAGATCATCGGGAGCCAAGATAATAGTAATTGGGGGTCTTATGAACCTTTTTATAAAATGGTATTTCTTTATATTTTGAAAAACAAAGAATTGTTTTAGAATTGATTTTATTAACTTATGCTGATGGCTTCTCTGCAAAAATTATGAGTAGACAGGATAAGTGGATAATAATCCTAATGTTGACAACTAGCATAGAGTAGTTATTCTCTGCCAGACACATTAGCCATCTTATAGATGAGAAAACTAAGGCAGGAGAAATTAAGGAATTTGCCTGAGGTCACAAAACTACTAGGTGCCACAGCCAGAATATCCATAAAACCTTATTTTCATTTAAAGATGGTATGGTTAAAGACAATTCTAGAAACATCATTGACTCAGAAAAGAGTGGGCAGTTTGCTGCTGAAGAGGTTTTTAAAGTAGTGACATTTCAGACAGTATTTAAATCACAACAGAGATCTGGCCTGTTCTCTAAAGATCTGGGTATAATTTGATACAAAGGCATTTTTCAAAGTTTTTAAATGACTTCTATTTGGGAGCATCTTGTGGCTCAGATTTCTGTCTCTCGTGGAACGTCAATTCAAGGTGCTCACAATTAATGATGACTTTGAACATTGACTCCTGTGGTTCGGCGTGCCCCTCCCACATAGCAGGCTTTTGTGAGCGGATCACCAGCGCCCTATGTGCACTTGGCAGGACAAAAGCAACAGTTCGTCATTGTGCTCCCCAGAGCAGGCATGGCATGCATTTCAAATTTCAACATTATTTTCCAGGTTTGGAGGCTCAAAATGTTTGAGGAGGTAAGTTAAAAAATAGTCTTGTGTTTATCTTTTTATCAGACCTTTCATATACAACTGAAAATTACTTTAAAATAAAGCATGTGTCATGAACTTCAGTACTACAGAAATATTGCCTTTTTTGGTCTTATATAACAGTGTCTCATTCATTATTTTCTGAAAAGTTCTTTTTTTCTCACCATGTGAATACATTTAAAACACACACACACATGCACACACATGCAAAGCTTAAAGGTTCTGATGGAGTTCCACTCCCTTCTCAAAGGCTTAAAATAGAGCTTTTTGTGGTCTGTATAGGTCAGGTGGATTTTTACTGAGAATTTCAATTTGTCCTTGAGATACTTGATTAGAGTATATTTACATACAAGATACTTATGTAAGTATATGATACTTGATTAGAGTGTGTGTTTAGCATACCAACCTTAACAAACATGATCAATGTATGAAAAATGTGTTTATCCATATGATGAAATGTTTGTAGTAAAAAATTAAGTGCTATTCAACTGGAAGATGGAAATTAAAATATTCCAATAAAGATGGAAATTAAAATATTCCAATAAAATATTCCAATAAAGATGGAAATTAAAATATTCCAATAAAATGAATTCAATAGGTATGTTAATGGAAATTAAAATATTTAAAACTGTAACTAGTCTTGCATTTCCACACTTGAATTATCTAAATTAGCTGAACTTTGCAGTATTTTACTTGATATATTGCATTTCTGGGCATAAAACATCTATGCAATTTGTTAAACTCATAGCAGATTTTAGTACTCAGTGCTGTTTATGGCAGATAAAGTTTCATCCTAGTTCTGAAATAATTTTATTTTCTGCAATTCAGATAAAAACTTTATAGAAACCCCCTAAAGATAACACTGAGACACTGACCAGAAAAATAAGATAACTTTTTGTTTCCAAAATGATACAACAGATAAATCCTTAGATGCTTATAATACTATGTCACCATCATCACAAAGTATTGAAAATTTGTTTCCTGTTTTACAAAGCGCCCTCACGGTCACTTATGTATGCCCAGAGCCATAAACACATTTTTTTTTTTAGATTAGAAAATGTAGTTTATTTAAAAGATAATTAGAGAAAGAGAGAGAAAGTGAAGATTCACCTCCCCAAGGTGGGGGCGGGGGCCAAAGCCAGGAAACATGGTGACAGCCATAGCACAAAGGGCACCTGGCCACACCAGAGTCTAGCACAGCAATGGTCCAAAAAGACATTTTTATCTCAGGGAAATTCCAAAAATGGGATCATTTTTGTGCAATATTGATTCATTCCTGTCTAGTCAAATACGTGTTTTCCACCTAGCAATGAACATCTGCCCCACGTTACGGGGGGCAAGCCACTTGGAAAACGTACTGTCTGCTGAGCACTGAAAAAGGAGATGGACAAGTCAGCCAGCATTCCAGTTAAGAGAAAAACATCTGTGCTTTGGAAAATGTTCAAGGATAGAGAATTGCGCTCTGTGTCCACCCAATTTCCATGAGCTCTTTATAAGATTAGACAGCCGGGGATAAGGCCCCCTGATCTTTCTTCATGGGGGCTCAGGAGATTCTCCGCCCTACCCCCAACAGCTGCATAACTGCACTTCTGTCTCGTGGAAGTAAAGTGACTTATCCAGCACCAGGAGTTTGTTCTTAACACAGGAGAGACTAAATGATTTTTAAAAGTATGCTCTGATTCGTAAAGTGATCTAAGACAATATCCTCACTCTACTTTGATTTTTTTCACTTAAAAGCTTACAGATGGATTCCTTAAGTCATTTTAAACAGCCTGATAGGGAGGATCAACACAAAGCATGGAAGTAAAAACTAAGAGTATAAATATCTATATCGTCACCATAATCTGAGATGATTGATGTTTTATAATAAGCCCAAGTTCCATTTTTCTGAGAAACAGACTTTTATCAACCCAGCAGGAGTTACCATATAATCATTCTGAAGGACTTATCAACATCCTTTGCCACTTTCTTCTAAGACCACTGACTTTCACGAAAGGATAAATATAAAAATTATAAAAATTGATAAGACATTTAATGTCCTGGAAGAGGACATACAGATAATTAGATAAAAGTTCCAGCATTATTGCCATGCCCTAATCATATGGACTTTGTGTTCTCATCACTGAGGAGTCACATTTTCAGCTTGCTAAAATATCCAGTGGAGAAAATGCAGTGAAACCCGTGAGTGGAAACATACCATGGTATTCTCAAGCACCATGTGTCAGGAGTTTGGCATCTCTTCCTCCTGGGGAGTCATTGGAGCGTAGCCAGGTAGAACCCAGCAGGATACAGAGGGCATGTGCTGGGGCAGTCAGGAAACCAGTGTTTCCAGCTCCTTGCCTGCCAGGGAGTTCTCTCAGCTTGTCTCTAAAATGTGCATTAAATCAACTATCTCATACTTTCATTTTAAGGACATTTTTTAAAGCATGGAAAGCTTTGAAGCCTCTTGAAGGCTATTCCTATGTGAGGTATTGCTTACTGGTGACATTTAACTATTTGCAAATAAGCAATGAAAATAAGCCTGAACCTAAAATAAATTAAGCAACAGACTTCGACAGCCCAAGAGAATTGTATTTGATTCCAGTCTCAAAAAATCGCTTTTGGTTTGGCTTTCAATTTAGGAAAGTTGTTTTGAGTTGAGTTGTTGAAAGTAATGAGTTCTGGCAGTTACTTAACTGATTAAATTCTGAATCTCTCAAATTATTTGATTATTCCTGCTGATTTTAGTTATCTATTGCTGCCTAACAAATCATCCCAAAATGTCATGGTTTAAAACAACCACCATTTTGTTCTCCCTCATGATTCTGCAGGTTGAATGGGCTCAACTGGGCAGTTTCCTTCATTGGAGTCTCTCATGGTTGTGATCAGGCAGTGCTGGTTCTGGGGTCTCCTGAAGAGTTGACTGGGATACTATAATGTCTGGGCTCTTCTCTCCCTATGATCTCTACTTACTACTTTCTAAGGGCATCCAAAAGTGCAAGAGCAGAAGTTTCCAAGCA